TAAATGCGGGTCTTGGGAAGCGGTATAAAAATGAAAGGGTCCGGGGAGAGCGGATATAGGGAATGCAGGGTCCAGGGAGACCAGTATAGTGAATGCAGGTCCGGGGAGACCAGATATAGTAAAATGCAGGGTCCGGGGGGAAACCCAATATTGGACAGGGCCAGGGGACCAATATAGTGGTGCGGGGTCCGGGGGAGCCCTTTTAATAGTAAATGCAGGGCCGGGGGAGAGGGGAAATATGTTTTTGCAAGGGCCGGGGGAGCCCATATATAGTGAATGCAGGGTCCGGGGAGCCCGGGATATAGTGAATGCAGGGTCCGGGGAGCCCCGGAAATAGTAAATCAGGGTTGGGGAGAGGGGATATATAAAAGCAGGGTCCGGGAGAGCGGATATAGGGGAAAGCGGGGGTCCGGGGACCAAAAAATTAGTGAATGAGGGTCTTGGGAGAGCGGAAATAGTAATGCAGGGTCCGGAAAGGGGTTTATATGAATGCATGGCCCGGAGAGCGGATATAGTGAATTCAGGTGTACCCGGAGACCCACATATAGTGAATGCAGGGTCCGGGGAGACACAGATATAGTGAATGCAGTCCGGGGAGACCAAGATATAGTGAATGCATAGCAGGTCCGGGGAGACCAGATATAGTGGAATCAGGTGTCCTAGGGAGACAGATATAGTGGATGCAGTGGTCCGGGAGACCAGATAAAATACAGACTTGATATAGTGAATGCAGTGTCTTGGGAGAGAGCGGATATAGTAAATGCAGGGTCTTGGGAGAGCGGATATAGTGAATGCAGGGTCCGGGGGTGGGGGGGGTGGGACAGGGTCCCAGGGAGACCAGATATAGTGAATGCAGGGTCCGGGGAGACCAGATATAGTGGAATGCAGGGTCCCGGGAGACCATATATGGTTAAATGCAGGGTCCGGGAGAGACCATATATAGTGAATGCAGGGTCCGGGGAGACCGATATATAGTGATGCAGGGTCCGGGAGACCGGATAAAGTGAATGCAGGGTCCGGGGAGTCCTATATAGTGAATGCAGGGTCCGGGGAGAGCGGATATAGTGAATGCAGAGGGTCCAGGGGAGAGCGGATATAGTGAAAGCAGGTCCGGGGAGACCAGTGAATGCCCAGAGGTCTTGGGAGACCAGATGCAGGAATGCAGGGTCCGGGAAGAGCGGATATAGTGAATGCAGGGTCCGGGGAGACCAGAAATTAGTGAATGCAGGGTGCGGGAGACCCGGATATAGTGAATGCAGGGTCCGGGGAGACCAAATATAGTGAATGCAGGGTCCACGGAGAGCAGGTTATAGTGAATGCAGGGTCCGGGGAGAACCAAATAATATGTGAAATGCAGGGTCCGGGGAGAGCGGTATATAGTGAATGCATGGTCCGGGGAGAGTGGATATATAGCAGGGTCCGGAATGACCAGATTATAGGTGCCATGGTCCGGGTATTTATTAAAAATTCTGCCGATTGAATGTCATTCATTTAAAAAATAAAGATATGCTTCTCTCCTCCATCTTGTGGGGATAGTGTGGTATTTTCCCCATTCATTTTTTTTAATGAACAACATTTGATCTGCAGAGAATATAATCTGAGAACATTTGATTTATGGCCTGTTTGTGTGGGTTTTTTTTTTAATACACCCTTTTATATATTCCAACCACATCTCACGTGTGTTTTCAGCTCTTTAGCTATGGTTTTGCTTTTATTTTGAAAACATTAAAGCTGAACTCCTGGATGAGCAAATATTGTCTAAATACGAGTCGTGTGTGTATTCTTACTGGAATCTCGGTGAGTTTTGTGAATTTCTTCCAGATCTGTGCAGTAATCCAGTGTAAGACTTTCCCTCTGTGCAGAAATTTCCTGTAATAAAGACCGCTCACTGCTGCTCTATCTCCTTGTGCAGGGTGACTGGTCTTGTCTCTGCCCCTCCTGTAGTTTTCTGTGGTGGTTATAGATCATAAACTGCTGGGTCCCTCCCACAGCTCTACTCTCTGTACAGGCTAGGTACAGCTCAGTGATCATGTCACTGCTACTTTTACAATGTAATATCTGCATTTGCAAGAGTATTTGGTGCAAACAAGTGGATTTATTTCCTTTGTGACTATTGAGGAATATACACTGCTCCAAAAAATTAAAGGAACACTTTTTAATCAGCGTCTAGCATCAAGTCAATTAAACTCCTGGGATATTGATCTGGTCAGTGAAGTAGCAGAGAGAGTTGTTAATTAGTTTCATCTACTTTGGTGTTAATGAAAGTAACAACAGATGCACTAGATGGGCAACAATAAGATGACCCCAAAAACAGGAATGGTTTTACAAGTGGAGGCCACTGACAATTTTTTCCCTACTCATCTTTTCTGATTGTATTTCATTAGTTCTGCATTTGGCTAGATCAGTGTCACTACTGGTAGCATGAGGCCATACCTGGACCCTACAGAGGTTGCTCAGGCAGTCCAACTCCTCCAGGATGTCACATCAATACGTACCATTGCCAGAAGGTTTGCTGTGTCTCCCAGCACAGTCTCAAGAGCATGGAGCAGATTCCAGGAGACAGGCAGTTACTCTATGAGAGATGGACAGGGCCATAGAAGGTCCTTAACCAATCATGAGCACTGTCAAAGCCCTACTGAGACAGACTTCATGAGGGTGGCCTGAGGGCCCGATGTCCTCTAGTGGGCCCTGTGCTCACTGCTCGGCACCATAGAGCTGGACTGGCATTTGTTATTGAACACCAGAATCGGCAGGTCCACCACTGGCACCCTGTGTTTTTCACAGAGGAGAGCAGGTTCACCCTGAGCACATGTGACAGATGTGAAAGGGTCTGGAGAAGGCGTGGAGAACATTCTGCTGCCTGTAACATGGTTCAGCATGACTGTTTTGGTGGTGAGTCAGTGACGGTCTGTGGAGGCATATCCATGGAGGGACGCACAGACCTCTACAGGCTAGACAATGGCATCTTGACTGCCATTAGGTATCGGGATGAAATCCTTGGACCCATTGTCAGACTCTACACTGGTGCAGTGGGTCCTGGGTTCCTCCTGGTGCACGACAATGCCCGGCGTCATGTGGTGAGAGTATGCAGCCAGTTCCTGGAGGATGAAGGAATTGATACCTTTGAATGGCCCCCACGCTCGCCCGACCTAAATCCAATAGAACACCTCTGGGATATCATGTTTTGGTCCATTCGACATCGCCAGGTTGCACCTCAGACATTCCAGGAGCTCAGTGATGTCCTGGTCCAGATCTGGGAGGAAATACCCCAGGACACCATCCATCATCTCATTAGGGGCATGCTCCAACATTGTCAGGCATGCATACACTCATGTGGGGGTCATAGAAACCAATGAGGACCATTCTGAGTTGCTGCAATCAAATTTCAGCAAAATGGACTCAGCTGCTGCATAATTTTTTCACTTTGATTTTCGAGGTGTCTTTGAATTCAGTCCTCTGTAGGTTGATAATTTTCCTTTCCATCAAACGATGGGGAATCCTTATGTTCCTAACACATTACCCCGTCCATATCAGTATAGATATCCAGCATGAAATTTTGCCCATTGAGATCTGATGTGTTTTCAAAATGCTCCTTTAATTTTTTTGAGCAATGCATTTAAATGAAAATTTTTGCAACTGGAGTTCAGCTTTAACATACCAGAAATTTCTTGCCGTCTGACCACTTAACAAGTATGAAATGAAGCACATCTCAAATATGACATGAAAATCCAATTTTATTTTGCCTCGCAATGTTTGACCGACTACTTTTACCATTTCAAAAATGGAAAAAAAAAAAATCTCGTAAATCTAACTCTAACTTTCTGCTTGATTATCATTTAGAATTTCCATAACGTCCCCCTTCCCACCCAGAAAAGAACCAAATCTAGAGAATTAAACCACGTCCCCATGAATGCGTTTTACTGTATAATTCCACCAGCGGTATTTTAATCTGGCAAAGCAAATAGGGTGAGGAATTTAGCGGAATCTATTCTGAGCAGATAATGTGGAAAAAATGCCTATTTGCATGGATGGACAATTTTATTTGCTCCGTTGTAATAAGTGATTGTAGCGTAGGCGCAGTCATCGCACTGAGCGGCAGCGGGGATGTCGTCCGGTTAGAATGTGGTTTATGGACATGTTCTTAGGGTGTAATATAAACAATAAGGTTTAGTAATAAATTATACCATACATTCATACAACTAGCATGCATCGTAGGTTTTGTGTTTTTTATTTGTGTGTGTTTTTTTTTTCTTGACCGTCATATTTTTTATATGCTTAGAAATCCATTTTCTGATTACTGTAGCTCATCAAAGGATTTTTTTAAAGCTGAATTTTTTACATTTTTTAAAGTTTTTTTTTTTAATTTTAATTTAAAATGTTCCCTTCAGTCTTGCACAGTTGTCCTCTACTGAAATGCAAATCAGATTGAGCCTGCCTTATTTCCTGGCTGGAGTGTGTCCAGAATCATCTAGTCCAGGGGTCTCTGGGCCCTCTACCAGTTTTTATCTGGTATTAAGGATTCAGATGTAAGGGGGTTGAGGGGGTCTCTGATAGGGAACCTAATATAAAGGGAACTCTGATGGAACCCTGAGGTAAAGATGACTTTGATAGGGAACCCTGATGTAAAGGGAACTCTGATGGAACCCTGAGGTAAAGATGACTTTGATAGGGAACCCTGATGTAAAGGGAACTCTGATGGAACCCTGAGGTAAAGATGACTTTGATAGGAACCCTGATGTAAAGGGAACTCTGATGGAACCCTGAGGTAAAGATGACTTTGATAGGAACCCTGATGTAAAGGGAACTCTGATGGAACCCTGAGGTAAAGATGACTTTGATAGGAAACCCTGATGTAAAGGGAACTCTGATGGAACCCTGAGGTAAAGATGACTTTGATAGGGAAACCCTGATGTAAAGGGAACTCTGATGAAACCCTGAGGTAAAGATGACTTTGATAGGAAACCCTGATGTAAAGGGAACTCTGATGGAACCCTGAGGTAAAGATGACTTTGATAGGGAACCCTGATGTAAAGGGAACTCTGATGGAACCCTGAGGTAAAGATGACTTTGATAGGGAACCCTGATGTAAAGGGAACTCTGATGGAACCCTGAGGTAAAGATGACTTTGATAAGGGAACCTGATGTAAAGGGAAGGGGGACTGATGGAGAGGTAACTGGGGACTCTCATGGGGATCCTGAGGTAGGTGGGACCTTGGGGACCCTGATGTAATGTAAGCTGATGAGGACCCTGATGTCAGAGGGGACTTGATAGAGTGTACACTGATGTAAGGGGGACTTTGATGGAGATCAAGATGTAAGAACTGGGACTCTCTGTAATGGGGACTCTGATGGGGACCCTGATGTAGGTGGGACCTTAAAATCAGGCTACAAGACTGTAGCTGCTGACTTTGTAATAAAGGACACTTACCTGGGATCCTGATGAGGACCCTGATGTCAGAGGGGACTTTGATGCAGGAGCTGATGTAAGAGAATCCGGTAGGACTTCTGCTTCACAGCTGGATCTACTGAGATATAAGAGCCCACTTTGTGTGACTGGTTCCCTGCTTAATGGGGACCTGATGGGGGAAGGGGAGGGGCAGAAAGAAAGTGATTTCAAGTGGGGCAGGTACCTGTCAAAACTAGGAACCCGCTCCCCTCTCCCCCCGAAAGTGCCAAATATGGCAAAAGTCAGCAGCTACAAGTGGAACTGTCCCCTTTTGGGTGCAGTTCCACTTTAAGGGCAACTCTGATGGGGTCCCTGATGCAAGGGGACTGTGATGGGGACCCTGATGTAAGAGAGGACTTTGATGGTGACTATATATACAGTGAGGAACAGAAGTATTTGAACACCCTGCGATTTTGCAAGTTCTCCCACTTAGAAATCATGGAGGGGTCTCAAATTCACATTGTAGGTGCATTCCCACTCTCAGAGACAGAATTTAAAAAAAAAATTCAGGAAATCCCATTGTATGATTTGTAAAGAATTTATTTGTCTTGCACTGCTGAACATAAGTATTTGAACACCTGAGAAAATCCGTGTTAATATTTGGTACAGAAGCCTTTGTTTGCAATTACAGAGGTCAGACGTTTCCTGTAGTTCCTGACCAGGTTTGCACTGCAACAGGGATTTTGGCCCCTCCTCCACACAGATCTCCTCTAGATCTGTCAGGTTTCGGGGCTGTCGCTGAGCAACACGGAGTTTCAGCTCCCTCCAAAGATGTTCTATTGGACTTAGGTGTGGAGACTGGCTAGGCCACTCCAGAACCTTGATATGCTTCTTACGGAGCCACTCCTTGGTTCTCCTGGCTGTGTGCTTCGGGTCGTTGTCATGTTGGAAGACCCAGCCACGACCCATCTTCAATGCTCTGA